AACTGGGTTTGAATTACGACTGTACTCCTTCCACTCCAAAGAAAGCCTTTTGAAATGCCTCAAGCCCTTCAGCGTAAGACATTGCACTTGGGAGTCCTGCTCAATCACTACCAAGGTTTCAAGAGTTCTAAAACATTTCCAACTCACTACTGCTAAGAGGAACGTTATTAATAGATGGAGTAACCAGAGCACACAAGTGTGAGCATCCTGCCAGCACAGTGTTTCTGCAAACGCCATTCATCATATGGAAAGCCCAAGGCCAGGTTGTCATGACTGCTCTTGACTCAGAAACCTCTAAAGGACAGATCCCATCACAAACGGACTTTGCACGGAAGCATCAAGGTGACAATTGTAAATAAGTCCTTTTTGATAGTTGTAGAGGACAAAGTCACCATTGCGATACGTGAATGATCACTGAGCCTGTCTTGACATTGCTTCAGGTGAGAGGGTCCCTGATGATCTCTATTATTTTCTATATATTTTTGAGAGGGTTAGCTAAATGGCTTTTGTGTAAAATAAGAAGGGTGAGTGAACCTTACCCTTTCTCAAGAACTTGTAATGTTGTGTTGCTGCAGTAGATTAAGTATGGGTAGGAAGGCCAGGTGTGAACAATTCTTGCTGATGTAAAACTTCACTACCTGCCTGATTTCTGCAGAGCTGGGTCATTCTCACCAACTAATCTACATGCAGTTAAAAATCATTTTTTCAGTTCATTGTGTAAAGCTATTATTTTAACCTAACTCCTAGATAGTATACATTTCTTCAGAAAAACCCCAAAGGTATCAAAAACATTCATACTTATTTTCTCACTTTGATTGACTTTGTTTTTTAGCATTCCATCATAATATGTTTAGCCTACTATGTTGACCTTGGTGGTGTTTCCCCAAATGTCTGGTCCTCAAATTTTCATACTCTACCAGTTGGCTGAAATCATACACCCCCTTCTTTCTCAGGAAATAATCTAGTCTTTACTTGACCAAGGAAACCGGGCCATATAACACAAGAGTCCCTTCATACTTTCTCCATTATCCTTTACAACAACCTCCACTTTTCTTGACTTTTCACTCTGTCTTTAATGAGAACTTATCTACCTTGCTGAAAAATATATTAATTTTCCTTTGCTCTTATTCCAATTCTTTTATATGTCTGCATTTCAGAATGAGCTCCCTAATGTTCCAGGGTTTAAAAAACAAAAACTGAAACAACAGAAAGTATTCATCCACCGCCCCCCACCCCCCCCACCCCCGACAAAAAAAAAAAAAAAAGAAAAGATTACCTGCCTTAATTATGCTTTGTGTCTGCCCAGATCTGTACCTTTCCCCTGGCATAGTCTGAAATGGTCTCTGTTCGTTCTCTGGTACAAAAAATCTGCTCACCAAATTTGTTTACTCCATATGGAATCTCTATCTTGAACCACAAAGTCTCCCATAGTAATTTTTTTCATATTTCAATATCTGAGTTCTGTTGCTTCAAATATGTTTTTAAGTGATGGGTTAATCACACTGTAGAGAGGTTCAGTGGCTTGCCCAGCTTAGTGGCAGACTGAGAATCAGTCCTTGGGTCTTCTGGATCCCTTTTCTGAATCGTTTTTCCTATTACACCGATAATATTTAGAGGTGGGGTTGAACTACTAGCTAAGAAATAAAATTGTTCATTAAACATTCTTAAAGGTTCTTCTTTTACCCCAATGTGTAATATTAAATTGTGGTGTGATTTCTCTCCTAAGTGGTTTATTTCCCTCCAGCCCAAATAACTTATGATCCATGGCTGTTAAGATCCTTTTCCATGCAAAGCAGCCTCTTGTGTGCAAGGACGAGGACGTCTGAGTACACACTCACACGGGAGAGGAGGTGAAGTCCATGGTCGCACTGTAACTAAAGCTAATGACAGAAGGATTGAGACTAGGTCGCAAGAGGACACTGACCTGGAGACTTCCTTGTGTGAGGTTTAAAGATGCCTTCCATCCTAATCTGAAAAAGCATCACCTTTGAAATGATTTTTACTGTTCCCAAGCCTGCCTGAAATGAGACTCAAAATCACATTTTCCCATGACTTGTTTCATTGTCCTGGCCCTTTTCCTGTAGTGCTCTGAGCCATTTGGGAGAATGAAAAGTGCCCATTACTATTCTGAGAACTTGGGAACATTTTGGCAATAGCTTTTCCAAAAGAGCAAAAGATGCAAGAAATAAGGAACAATAGCTGCACTTTGTATGTCTTTTAAAGTTTTCTATTTCTTTTGTGGATGAACTATCAAGTCATCAAACGTGTGGGGTCATGAAAAACCATTTTAAGTCAGTAGTGTGATTAGAAACCTAAAATTTCATTGGGACAAAGAATACTGATAAAAGTGAACTTCTAAAATGCTTCATGAAAAATTATGTCTAAAGTTATACATAAATGAAATAACATGGAATGGTGATGTAAAATCGAAGAATTTAATATCTTTCTATGTATCACAATACATAAATTTGAATCCCTTTAAGTGGTTGTTTGATTGCAGTTGAGATAATTATAAGATAGAAAGACAGGGATCTTAATGATTTTGGAAGTAAAATCTATCCACTTTGTATTTATCTCTTTTACCTCTCAATAATCAATGATACCGTTGTTTTCCACTAGTCAGCTTTGTTTTACATATCGTGCCTAAGAAGCAAGGATTTCCCATTTGTAGAGTTGGCAGTTTCTTGCACTTTGATATTGTACTCACTTTTCAGTCACAAGATGATAAATGTAGACACTGTGTACAAACAAGAAGTTCATGCAAAGGCAAGCGCTCCACACCACATGCAAGACTCAACGGCACATGGTTTAGAGCTCACACACTCCAGGATCATGTAATACTGGCATGCAGATGAGAGGAAAGGAAAGAACCTTGATCATGGAAATAGAGGATGATGAAAGAATGACATTTACTTTATGACAATTATCTAATGCAAACCGTATACCCATAACCTTTACCAGAGAGGAGTAGGGGTAGAGAAGCAATTTTTTTTAATGGGAGTGGGGAATTGTATCCAAATATTACTAGAGGTCAAGCCATTGCCAAAGTTAAGAGTCTCTAATCTGCACTTGGCCTCTCACACATCATCTCCCCCAGCTTCTTGCTTTGTGTTTCCTCCACTACATCATGCACAAGAAGATCAGAACTAACATTAGAAATCATTGAACAGGCTCTACACCTGACAGATAACAAGGGTGTTCTCCACAATTTACACGAGAATTAAATTGGATATAAATACCTCCTGTTCTTACCGGTGGGTGTTGTGATTCCATGTATTAAGGTGTGAAGCAGACAGGAAAGAGATAAATCTTTCATAAGTACATTGTAAATAGGCAAGTGGTATCTAAACCATATTTATTGGTAATAGAGTCAAACAATGAAAGGTAAATAACTGTCACAAAATAGACTTTCTATAACAAAAATGGTCCCCAAACTAGAGTTATATGGAGAATGGAGGTACATTAAGAATTTGTTGTTTTACTAGGGTTATTGAGATAATCAGGCTTTCTGGCACAACAAAATGTGTTTCAGTTCATATGTTTGACACTGCTTCAGCCAGCCCAGCATTAGAGAATCCTGAGTAATTTCTGAATGCTGATATCTTTTTTCAAACAGTAATAGTGAGGAACATATATGAAAGTGGTCAATTTGTGGGTGCTCATTCTGTGTGATTAAAGTGCTTTGTGAGATCAACTATCAAATACATCGTTCACAAGGAACTTTAGGATGATGAGAAATAAATCATGGAGTTCAGTTACCATTTTACATTAAATGTACCAGTCAATTAGCTTTTTAATAGAAATGTTATATAACGGCATGTTCTTACTTGGGTTCAGATAAAGAACACATAGCTATGATAAACTGATCCACATATGCTATGTGTTTAAAAATAGTCAATATTTTCCATGCTTTCTGCACTTCGATTGCTAATTGTGCACACGTGTGTTTCGTTTTGTTTTTTTTTTGCTAGAATACTGCTGGTCAAACAAAAATATCAACCCAAATAGCAGAGTCTCACTTATGCAAAAACTTTATTAAGTTTTTGTTTTAACTGTGAGTGATTTTTATGCTCTGCAGATTACTTATAAACAAGGTCTTTGTCGAGTGGAGGACTAGCCAGGTTGGAGAGAACCATATTTAGAATGTTTTTGTTATAACTCTATGATATGCCATGGAATTTGAATTTGTTCAATAATTTAGCTTTAGCAGTCTGTCTTTACAGTCCATCAAATGGCCAAAAGAATGTGAACATTTCCCCTCAAAGAGATACTACTTTGGACCACAGTGATAGTATTAATTTTGTTGCTTTTTGAAAAGTAACAGAGAGAGAAGGGTTGTGACAAAAGATCATTGATGTCAAGTTTGTTTAAAAGTTTTGAAGTAATCCATATTTCCCCCTTGAAAGAAAAATGCATTAAATCAGGTACAGCAAAAGGGCACATAGGTAATTGTTTACAATATAGGAAAATTACTCTTAAGGAAGCATGACACTTCTGCTCATAAAATGCTTACAATATACTTAAACTCTCTAATCTCTCCCACAAATTCTCAAAAATGCCTCAGGTTTTAAAAGCATTCATCTTGGATCTAATTAATATACACATTATTTTGATTTGGGGGAATCATAGTCATTATTATTTATTGGTTGAATCATAATGAAAATAGGTCCAACTGATCTTTTGAGTACTGGCAACTAGGCTACGTGACGAAAGCCCAAGTCCCAGGCCAGGCAATGCTCTCTCTAAACAGCAGCGGGAATTGTACTACAGTTATAGCAGTTTGCATCATGTTATAATGCCTTTGCCACACAGTATAACTAGATCTAGCACCATGCAATGCCATGAGTTGAGATGAGAGACTATCTTCAGGGGAGAAAATAAATACCAGAGAGAGGAAAACAAAAGCAAGGGGTTCAAAGCTGGTGAGACTGGCTTTTCCATTCTGGCTAGAGCTATACAACGGCTGTGGAGCTTCCGATTTGGAAAAGAGAACTGCATACCATGTTCATGTCAATTCCATTGGTGTAAGTCCACGCATGCTGGAAATACTCCTCGAGCCGCTGTCTCAGAGGGTTAGGGATTTGGTGGAAGCGAATGAACTCTTTCACTCGCAGCATCTGCATATGGTATCTGGCTGTTCCGGAGTATAGTCTTTGGATGATTGCAGATACATTCCCGAAAATGCTTGCATACATTAGTGCTGGAATGGGTAAAAAACAAAGTTATAGAAGAACAGGCCATGTGCTAGGACATATTGTATAATATTAGAAATACAAGTATAGACACTTGGATGGTCTCAATTCAGTTGTAATTATTTGCCATTTAGCCCATGGGAGTGGGGAGGTAGATAAGTGAATACTATTTTAAATTTATCAAGTTTAATGGTAAACATGAAAATAATGCCCAGTTCTATCTAAATTCACCATGGATTCTAAATGAAAATAAAATCTCTCACTGTTTACAATTTCAAAATCTGAGTTAAGGTATACGTTTCAATTAATTGTATCAGTGCCATTCAGCCTCGTCTCACCTTTGGACTTTATAGTACTAAAAATCTAGCATAATCTTGACTTTAAATACTTTGGATTTACTGAGAAATTATAAGCTGTTCCCTTTCAAAGTTTGTGTACAATTTTTGGTCAGTTAATTTTTTTAAATCATATTACTGCATAAGAAACAGCCTCTGATTTAGCATATGAATATAGTTTATCTTTGTAGTGAAAAATTAAATACATTTTTATTCTTTCGTCTATAAATGGAAAATGCCTTGCCATTCTTTTCTCTGTATGCATTACGGAAGCGAAAACATCGTTGTTCGTGTCTCCTGGGCTAAATCTTTGTGATTTAAAATAGCACCTTTAAACATCTGTGTGTTTGCTATTTATATTTGTATTCAGGTTCTAATAATTCTGCAAAGGAAAGTTATATTCTGTTCAGAAAGGTACATAATTATATATGACCTGCCTATCAATCTTGGGATCTGTGTCAGAACCTTGGAGAAAAGATAAAATACGTTTAAGTTACTTGGACGGTCATAATCCAAGCATGTAGGGGAAACACAGCTAGAAGAGTTTGATTAAAGTGTAGCCAAGCAGTACCGTTTCTTCTTTTTTTGGTCTTAAACACGTTGTTGAAACCATTTTCTCTCTCTATAAACTACTTAATCATTCTGAAAGTAAGTTTTGCTTAGATTTGGGCTAAGTGCTTTACAATAATCTATCTTCCTGGGCATTTGCTTTATTTTCCAACTTATTTCTGTTCCATGGTTAACATGGTCTTTGTTCCAGGGAAAGAAGTGACTCATTGTTTTCTTGTATTTAAGGGGATGTATAATAGGGAGAGCTATAGTAAGGCTAAACTGGGATATAAGAGAGAAATTATCAGTCAAGTAGACAAGTAACTTAGATTGTATCTTGCAAAGGAAAAGAGGTGAGTTTACTTTCAGTAAATGAATGGTTAATCAAGGAGGGAATTAGCATTATTTGCTAATTTCCTGTGATATGCCCGTGAGAAAAAATATGTGACTTTTCTTCAGTGTGTAGTCTTTGGAGCCCTGGGGCGCTATGATTGTTACATGTTGGTCCAGAGTTAGTCTCTGAAACTCACAGGGGCGGTTCTACCCTGTTCTCTGGGGCCCCTGCGAGTCCATGTCTACTCTCTGACAATGAGAAGCAAAATGTTGGAAATGCCTGTTGGTACTGTTAGATCTCCGAAGTTCTTAGGAAGAAGTTTAGGTAGTACAGATGAAATTCACTGAATTATCAATTAAAGACATATATTCAATGTGATTTTTTTGTTTTGTTGTAGTCTTCCTTCTTTACCTAAGCCACATAATTACATGAAGAAAAATGGTCAGAAAATAGTAGTTTTTAATAAATATTGCTTAAGATGAAACCCAAGTTTAGTTTGTGTTCTAAGTAGGTATTGCCTTCACAATGACAAGATGGCAAAATCTATACTATACAGGTACAAGATTTCATACATAAGCAAGCATTTGAAGTATTGATTTTAGGAAATTCTACAATGATGTCTTTTAGAACTATAATGAAGTCATCAATATCACTTCTATTTTTTTTTAATTAAGGAAGCAGTTGAAGCCAAAGATTTCCAAAGAGAGGGATATCACAAAATGACTATATTCTGTGTACATCATTCAGTTAATATCCACCAAAGAGCATTAAATATCATTTAGAAGAAAGATAAAAGACTATCCACAGGTATTTCTCTACTTAGATCCATATATTTCACTTTGCTTTTCTTAACAGGGATTTCTTACTTCATCAAAATGTTTTTGTTGTTGTTGGTTGGTTGGTTTTTATACTATAGAAATGAAATGGTATAGCTTACAAGTTTTTCAGCACATCACACTTGAAATCTGATAAGTTGACCAAACTCATATACTTGGTTAGTCAGGAACTGGTAGTTTAGCTAAGCTGAATGAAAGCATATACTTTGTTTTCCATTCTATAACACAAACCTTATTGATATTGTAACTTCAAGTTAAATTTTAACTTAAATTTTTTTATTGAGGTGTACTTTGCATATAATACAACACATCTATTTAAGTGTGCAGGACGCTTTGGTCTGACAAGTGCATATATTTATGTAAACAGAAACAAGATGCAGAGTATCTAAAATCCCTCCAATAGACTTCCTCTTGTCCTCTTCTTATCTGCTCCATTTACTCAAACCCTAAGCAACCACTTATCTCTTTTCTGTCATTAGAGATTCATTTGCGTTTTTGAGACTTTAGGAAATCATAATATATGTATTCATTTTGCCTGGCTTCCTTCCCTCAGCATAATGTTTTGGAGATTCATTCTGTTGTGTATGTCAGTCATCCCCCCCCCCCCTAAATCTTTCTACTGTATGGGTTGATCACAGTTTGCTTCTCCTTCTGTTGATGGAACTCTGTTGCCTTTAATTTTTGTCTACTATGAAATAACTCCAAGAAACATTTGTATGGCCATATAATTTCATTTTTCTGGCTTAAGCATTTAGCCATGGAATTGCTGAGTTGTATGGTAATTGTGTATTTAACCTTATTAGAAATTACCAAACTGTTTGCCAACTGCTTGTATCACTTTACATTTCCATCAGCAATGTTTGAGAATACAGGTTGTTCCATGTTCTTTCTAACATTTGGTATTCTTGGTGAGTTAGTTAGTTTATTGTGCCAACCTGGCCAATAAACATATGGGGGATTAATTGAAGGGCGGAGGGATAAATGGCTTGGTGAGCCTCGCCTTTCTAGTTCTCGGGTCTCTTGCTTTGTGATGGTTGGACCCGGGTGCAGCTGCCTTAGCAGTTCCTTGCTTCAACTGGCAAGGCTCACTTCTTGCAAGACATCCCCAAGGAGAAGCCACTTGGACCTACCCTGATGCAGCCCTGGGTGCTGGAGCAGTGTGTGGAGACCCCTGTCAGCACTGAGATGTTTACACATTCACTGACTCAGCTTTCCTCCTGCAGTCAGCATCATTGCATCTGCTTTGTGAGATGGAGGAGGACTTTGTGGATTGGTGTTGGACATATGGGTTAATATTGGACTTGTGGGCTTGGGCAGCACTGGGTTGGGATGTTTTCTTGTTGCACACTTAACCTATATATACAATTCTCTCTTATACATGAGTTTCTGTGGATTTGCTTCTCTAAAGTACGCAGACTAATACACTGTCTTTTTCATTTTAGCCATTGTGTGTGTGGTGTAGATAGATACTGTAGAATTCTCTCCACTTCATCACAAACCCATATATAACAGATGGAAATTTTGCCTAGCCTTGTATGAGCCTCATGATTGTGGGGCCGTTTGAATGGACTGTTGCAGCTGTGGAGTCAATCCATTTCCTTGACTGTTTCCCTTGTTTTCACTGACACAACGCCATTCACTAGTGATTGGTGTTTCCTAAAAACATGTGCAAAATAAGAGAGTCGAAGTCTTCACGTCTAAGCATCGTTCTGGTTGTATTTCTTCTAAGATGGATTTCTTTATTCTTTTGGCAGTATGCCCTAGGGTCACTGTTCTTTGCTAATACCACAGTTTGAATGTGTAATTATCCAGACATTACACTGCATGATATCTCAAGTTTTTAGCTGGATTTTTCATTTAACTATTGATAGTATTCAGTGTAATTATTGCTTATCACATACTTCATATGTTTTCTTTAATGATATGTTTGTTCACACACTTGGCTCCTTTTAAAATTGAGTTGTTTTTCTTCCTAAAATGAAGGTGTAGGAATTCTTGATATACTCTGTCTAGAACTGCTTTTTCAGATTTAGGTGTTGAGAAGGTTTTCTTCTTGTCTATCCTTAGGATCTCTGGTGGTGTAGTTGTTATGCGTTGGGCTGCTAACCTCATGGTCGGCAGTTCAAAACCACTAGTCTGGAGAAGAACAAGGTTTTCTACTCCCTTAAAGAGTTACAGCCTTGGAAACCCACAGGGTCAGTTCTACCCTGTCTTGCAGGGTCATCAGGAATCGGTATGGACCCAATGGCAGTGAGTCTATCCTTTGCTGTGTCCTTCTTTGAAGTGTTTTGAAGAGCAAGACTTACTAATGTTGATGAGACTTTTCACGCCAACTTTTATTTCATGGCTCAGGATTGTTGCGTCCATAACATGAAACGCCACATATTCCTGGGCTGCGAAGATCACACCTGTACTTTCTTCAATACATTTTACAGTTTAAGCGCTTCTGTCTGTTTATGCATCTGCGGTCATATATTTTCTTTCACAGGTGATATTAGAAACATCAAGAACAAATATTTTATTTTATTTGTGGTTTAAGCCATGGGGGTTGAGAGTCACAATAAAGTATTTTCTAATAGTTGAATTCATAAAGTGGTAAGAATTATGTTTGTTTAGAGAGATTTAATTTCTTTAGGATGGCTATTTCTATTTTTTCCCCCAGAAGACTTTTCTTCTAGTTGTTCTTGGCAGCAATGCTACTTCTGTGCTTATAGCCAAGACTGTTGAAATTTGTAGGATGTCTTAAAGTTATTTAAATTTAATGCTGTGTGGTTATGCAAGTATAAGCGAAGATAAAACATGGAAACATATATGAAAAATGCATTTTAAATGAAGTAAGTAATCACCAAATGTATGCAAGTTCTATAGAAATGGCTTATTTAAATACATTGCAGAAGTCAATTGTTAACATGTTTTAAATTAACTTCATATCTAAATTTACTTAAAATATATGTACAGCTGAATGCTAATTTTAGGAAAACTTAAAAAAATTCATTATATATATTTGCTAATTATTGACTGGAATTAGCAAGTTATTTTTTAGGGGTTTTTGATTTTATTTTTAAATAAAAGGATATGCACATATTCTCTTTCTATGCACATGCACACACATGCACATTTTAAATTAGAACCACGTGCGAGTATATACACACTATATATATGGTATATATAGTATTACTACACTTTCTATATACATAAACACAGAAGGAGACTTTAAAAAGTTGATGGAAAAATGGAATAGGAAGGTAAACTCCACAAGCTTTTGGAAGCCCTTGTGTGTGTGTGTGTGTATTCATATAAAATATGTATGCAGGCATAAAAATGAGGCTATAAGTAAAAATATTTATGTACTTTACTAGGGTTCCAGTTCATGCATGCATGGATATATTGCACACACATATGTTTAAACATTTCTCTGTGGTCACTTGATGGCTACACACAAGTTCTCTTAGCAATACAGGTACTTATTAAGGTACCTGGAAAGATACTTTTGCGCCTTGGGGGGAAGTTATTTTAGGGTCAGGACTAATGGTATATTGTAACAAAATACGTGGACCTCTTCCCATGTCATTGAAACTTTGCAACAAGTTTGCAAGAATGTTGTGCTAACGGGAGGTTGGGAAGACCTCAAAGACAGAGAGGGAAGAAGACCATGCACTTGGACGCACGGAGAAACCAGCTGAAGTCTAGAAACTAGTAGAATACTGAAGCGGGGCTCATACAAGGTTTGAAATTGTAAATTTCATGCAAACATCATGCCCTTATTAAAACTTTCAAATCTATGGGAGGCAAAAATGTTGTACGATGATGGCAGCTCAGGCTTTTAAGCAAGACTGCAACTAATGGAGCCACTTATGTGGAATGAACCATGATTGAGGATTCGCCAATAAGATCCAGAGAACATGGTCCAATCAAAACAGCGGCTTCTAAGGATACTTTTTTGGTAAGTTAAATTCTCGACAGTTTAGCTGAGGTTATAGCAAGTTTTTTTCGTATTCCAAAGGCCTGCTAAACTTTCTTGAGGGGCACAGGGGCTTAGTAAAAAGTAATTTTAAGAACATAGAAACTGCATTGCTGTGAAAAAGTTGAGAAAATTATGCAGAGAATTTTTTCCCTCCAACATGACTAAGCACCAGCTTTTTCTTTGACTCTAAGAAAGGTTGCCCCATGAATATTTCCTCAGGAACCCCCCCCCCAGCCCTAATCTAGCCCCTCTGGACATCTGTGTCTTCCTCAAACTCAAGCAACATTTCAAAGGAACACTATTTGGGTCACCCCCGGATGCCCACACTGCCCTTTTGACTTAGTGCAAATTGAGAGACACAAGCTTCTTCAGGGAAGAATTAGAGCGAGAGAAACACCACCTTCAACAGTGTGTAGACCAAGAGGGAGGATTCGTAAAAAACTCCTAGCTTCATATTTTGATATTTTTGTTCAATAACAATGTTTTATAACAAGATTTTTTGACTTACCCTTGTGTCTGTGAGAGAGAGAGAGAGAGGGGCGGGGGGTGGGGGGGGATGGGATGTAAATTTAATGTTCTCATTCTAATCTGAGCTCAGCTCAGCTCGAAATAGAAACCTAACCATTGATAATAAATTATGCCCAGTTTTTTTTTTTAAGAACAGTGAGAGTGAGTTGGAAGTTTTAGTTCCTGAATTCTTACACCCGTCATTCCAGTTTTATGTCTACGATTTCCTGAGAACTTAAAATGGATTTGATAGAATATAGTCTTCATATATCTAATCCCATTATCGCTACATTTTTCTCTGTCTCTTTAGCTCATTCTAAATATGTCTACAGATACCAATATTGTGGTGTTGTTTTACTATAAAAATTAGCAAAAGGGAAATCTACTTACAGCCGATCAACATGACACAAATGGAAAAGATTTTCTCCGAATTGGTATTAGGAGACACATTCCCGAATCCCACGCTGGTTAGACTGCTGAACGTGAAATAAAGTGCGGTGACGTATTTGTCTTTTATGGATGGTCCGGAACTGGAGTCACTGTCATTGTAGCGCTTCCCGATTTGTAGTCCTAAGGAATCCAACCATCCAATCTTGTCAGTCAGGTATGGCCGTTCCACGTTCCCGATCGCATACCAAATGCAAGCCAGCCAGTGAGCAATCAGGGCAAAGATGCACATTAAGAGCATCAGCACGGCTGCTCCGTACTCCGAATATCGGTCAAGTTTCCTGGCCACTCGCACAAGACGAAGGAGTCTAGCTGTCTTCAAAAGGCCAATTAATGTTGTTGTCTGGGGAAATAAATGCTCATGATGAGTAATGGTTGACAATCAATTCTAAATGGGTTCAAGTGATATAAAATAGGTTGAAACAGATGAAAACAATATGGTAGTACTGATAATAACTGTATATTTGAAATCAGTAACTAAGATGATGTCTTGTTAGTGATTTTGCTTTTGTTTTGGGAAATCCTTTGAAAGTGCACGACACTTTAATTTACTATCTTCAAGTAGAAGACCTGCAGGAGAGAGCATCGATTTTTTATACTCTAACCAAGTGCTTTCCACATAGCTATTGTTGTCTTGCTTTTCAGTTAATTCTGACTTGTGGCAACTCCACATGTACAGAGTATAACTGCTCCCTAAGCTTTTCAAAACTATGACCTCTGGAAGCAAATGTCCAGGCCAATTGTCTTCCAAAGTGGCTCTCAGGGAATGCCAACTGCCCATCTTTTGGCTAGTCATCAATTGCTTAACTTTTGTACCAGCCAGCAGCCTTCTTGGACATAACAAGTGCTCAGTAAATCATGCATTCACATGACAAACATTCCTGTGTGTGTGTGTGCCGAGCCAAGGTCACATGCCGGCATTCCAGGGTTGACCAGGAAAGACGAGGTGGTTTTGTAGTAGACACAGTATTATTTAACAGAGAAGGCATCTTCTCTAAGGAACAGAAGCAAGGATTTCTCCCTAGTAGGGGACACAGATATTTTAAAAATAAACAAATAATGAGATAACTTTTGATAGTGAGAAGAACAATGATAATAAAAGAGTAAGATGACCGAAAGTGCTTGGTGTGTGGGCTGAACTGGGACTCAGTTTAGAAAGAAAAAGGAAGTCCAAAGAAGGCCTGGCTGAACCACAGATATGTGAGTTGAGAGAGATTTGCTAACGAGGAGCTAGTCAAGCAGATCAGTGTGGGAACACTTATTTGAAGATCACACATATGCATTAGACCTATATTTAACTGCAGTTTTCTGTTTGTTCTCTGTAAATATGCTAAATTGATCAATTGTTTCATGATAATGCAATATTTCAATGATACTGTAATTGTATTTTAGCCTTTGGTTGTGACATGTGTAACTAATTGCATGGTTATTACTGACCAGGTATCTAATGATAGGACACTTCCATATAATAACATGATACTTAAATGGTTGTTTGGACTTGGAATCTGATAAGTACAAATTACGAGTTCATTTTTTAGGCTTCCTAAATAATGTCAACTATAAGTACTATATAATTCACAGGGCATGCAATTATTCCATAGTTACATGGTGTTTCCAATCAATTACGGAGTCATTTTATCTTAGTGTTGGTGTTTATTTCACAAAGTACATCCAAATGCATTAAGAACACTTGTATCTATTACCCATATTGATTAACAGTGACTTTCAATTAAAATGCTAAATTGTGCTATGAGCTATGTTTGTTAGGTTGTGTTTTCCTGTCTTAGTAGTCACAAGGGGTGGACCCATCAATCACGCCCAAATGTGTTTCAGTGAGTATTGCAAGCCCTAAGGATGTAAGAAGGGATTGGGGGGTTGAAATATGCTCATCGCAACAGGACCTCCTTTTTTGCTCATTTGGGATGTACAGAGGGGAGTCTTCTCTATTTCTAGTGCTGTTATTACTATGATGATGATGAAAAGAATGATGATGAAGTACATTCCCCCCTCACCCTTCTCTCACAGATTAAAAAAAAAAATTACATCATTTTACTGAATGGAAGAAGGGTATGAGTTAGTGTTGGGTGGATTCCTGGGAGAAAAGTCAATTTTCCATGATGTTAATATTGATTATTTTTACTTAGAAGGTAGGTGTTGGGCCTAGGTAACAACTTTGTGCTTGAATTCTTCTCTACTGCTGTGTGATCTTAAACAAGTTATGTATTTAATCTTTAAGCTTGTTTCATCCTCTGTAGATGGGAATAATAACGGCTACCTCACATGGTTCTTACATAATACCTAATCTTCATGTTTTTATTTGAACATTCCAAACCTGCTTGTTTCCATGAGTTAGCAGGAACTGTGTATTTTGAAGTGTGTTAATAGGTCTCTCACACCTTCCAAATGCATAACTTAGATCTTAGGAATCCCAAGAATAGGGTTTTCACCAGTGCCCTTGCAGACCCTCCAGAAAGTATGCATTCAGCATGCACCGACTGCTCAGACTAACTGGAATCATTTTGGTTCAGTATTTCAACACATCTATGCTCAAATTCTTTTTTTTCTTCCTAATTTTGCTGTTTCTTTATAAATAAATCTAGAAATATTTTATTGTATTGTTCAACACGTCTCTTCTTTGGAACAGAAGAAGAGAAAAGACACAAATAGTTGAAATACAATGAATGTTATTTAGGTATAATGCTGTAAAACATACTATCTTTAACAAAAAGTAACACAGTAGTAATAAGCATTAAAGACCACTAGAAGAGACCTGGGGGCATACTTGGTGCCCCGTAGGGCAAGATCAGCATTTTGAATCCCCCAGGTGTTCGGTGGGGAAAAGATGAGACTGTAAAGAGTCAAAGTCTTGGATACTCACAGGGGTCAGTTCTACCCTGTCCAATAAAGTCACTATGAGTTGGCTTCAGCTTGATGGCAGTGAGTGTATGAGGGTTACCCCGCCCTCCCCCCCCAATGGAATTCCTCCCACTGACCCCAAGCTATGTATTTAATTTTTTAAAAAACAAAACAACCTTATCACCTTCAAAATACTCTCCATTACACCTAATACATTTGTCACATCTGTGAATCCATTCTTGGAAACATTTTTCAAATTCATCTGTTTGGAGGGCTGATAGCACCTCCCTCGTTTTTTACTTCACCTCTTCCAAGTCATCAAATTGCTGTTCTTTAATGTTCCTCTTCATTTGCGGAAACAAAACGGAATTGCATGGAGTGAGGTCGGGTGAATAAGGTGCGTGGGGCAAGAGAGCATGCTGTTTTCTACCCCAAACTGGCACACTGAGAAGCCTGCATAAGCAGATGCATTGTCGTGGTGGGAAAAACATCGGTTCCCCATCTGCCACAAATCAGGTCTTTTTTGTTGCACATTGTTAGGCTATCTTTTCAGAACCTCTAAATAGAAAGCTTGGTTAACGGTCTGACCTGGTGGAATGAACTCCGAATGAACTATCTCCCTCACATCCAAAAAACAAATGGATATTGTCTTGATCTTTGATTTCACTTGACGAGCTTTTTGGGGGCAATGTGAAATGGCGTCTCCCACTGGTTTGATTGATGGCTTGCTTTCAGGGTCATCAGAATAGCACCATGCCTTGTCACCAGTAATGACCTTGGAGTAAAAGTCTGGGGTGTTTCAGAGCTGTTCTTTCAAAGCGCGGCATGTTTCCACTCAACACTTTTTTTGCTGCTCATTCAGAACCCAAGGCACGCATTTCACAGCGGCCCTTCTCGTCCCCAAATCTTCGGTGAAAATTCGCTGAACGGAGCTCCAAGATCGTCCAGATAACTCCCCCATCTCTGCGATGGCCCGTCGTTGGTCTTTGCACACAAGTGCACACATTTTGTCAACATTTCCATCTGTTCAGGAAGTTGAAGGACGACGTTTCACCTTTTTTGAAATGAGAACACTACTTGTACACTTGAGTTTTTCCCACAGTCCTGTCCTTGTAAGCTGTGTTTAACATCACAACAGTTTCTGTTGCATTTTTCCTGAGCAGGGAACAAAATTTCACTGGCGCACACTGTTCTCTAAAATCAGCCATCACTAAAAAATGAGGTTCGAGGGAAACTGCTTTTACCACAAAATTGACTGAGACCAGAGACAACCTTTCCAGGAGATGCCCCTGGGTGTACTAACTCAGAGCGAGTTGCTCGATGCTCCTACCACAAAAGCTCCACCCAGTGGAGGTTGTTTGTTTGTTTGTTTGGTGGGGGTTCTCCCCTTGTATGTATGTGTGAGTTATGTCCACGAGGAAGTCCTACAACTTGAGTTTCTATCTCATAAGTGCTGATGCCATCTCGGAGCTTCACTCCTTTCTTGCAATTGATTGATATTTTAAACTCTTTTTGTCAGGATGTAATAGGAGTCTACTTATTTAAGACTTTTAGTTTTCATGAATTTTGTCTGAATTGAATTTTTGCGTTAAATGGCACTTTTTCTTGAAATTCAATTATGTCAAAATTCTGGGTGGCTGATAAATATCATTCAATTCTAACTTAAAAAAAAGTTATCCTGGACTATACAATTTCCAGATACATTCTTATATTGAATATACGTTTTGTTATCATATTAATTATATGAATTTCTTATGAAACTTTACTTACAGCATACATATTCTAATCATTTGAAGTTTTGTATATGTGTAGATACTAGATCCAGACTCAGGACAAGTATGTGATTTCTCTTTTCATTAGACATTTTAACACAGATAAGGCAATTTCTTTAATAATATAATTGCAATTTTCTAAAGCCCTGAGATTAGAATTGGTAATTATGTTTAATCAATAGCAAACTATGTTCCACTCAAGAAAACTTGGCTAGAGTCAAACTGAGAAAGCCTCATAAATGTGAGAAATATGTGTATGGATATGTCTATATATCCAGTCTATGAATTATATCTATATATCCATACATATATATATATATAAGAATTTTTCAAAATAATTTTGAAAACAAATTTTTTTTCTTTATTGTCAGTAAGCATTTCAGGAATATTGCATTTAAATATCCTGTGTGCATTTTACAAAGTAGAATTATACTTTTATGAAGGAGGAATTTTATATTAATGACAAAAGACTAGATGTGTTGTTGGTTAATATCAGACAGCACACAAAGAAACAAACAAAAAGGCATCAAAAAGACAAGAAAGACCAAAGCAATGTCAGAAAGAGTTCTAAAATTGTTCTTTGTATTATAATTAAATGTGCAAAGAACTGGAGTTAGAAAAACAAAAGAGAACAGGCCCAACATTTCTCAATCTGAAAAAAATTGAAGAAAGAAGTCATGTCTCAATTTTCAATATTGATGCGTTCTATGAGCAA